TATTTACTTCTTGCAATTTTACGATGATGCTGTTATACATTACCAGTTCTTAATGTTAAGCATTTATTTTTAGTTTATTTATCACGAGTAATCATACTTTACTAGTTACCAGAAACCATGTTACCACATTAAAGTATTCTTTTTTAAGAAGTATATTACATTAAGTAATTTACATTCTTGTTCTATTAATATATATAGTATCTGCAGATGTAGAATTTTATATATTCGAATGTATTTAGTACGAGTCGCTGGCTCATCGTACATCTTGAATTGACATAAATTTACCTACCTACCTGCCTACCTACAAAACTTAAATCAGGGTTGTAGCTGTGGGCCAAAATTTCAAGTGAATAGGCTCAAATACGGTGGCCCAGAAGGCTCAACGCAAACAAAGAATATACTGCAGCAAATAAAAAATATACTGCAGCAAATAATAATATACTGCAGCAAATAAAAAAAAAATCAAAACACAAAGAAAAAAAGTACCGCAGCAAATAAAAAAATGCAACGCAAACAAAAAATACTGCAGCAAATAAAATATGCAACGCAAACAAAAGAAAGAAAACGCAAACAAAAAAATTGGAATGCAATGCCAAGGAAGACTGGGTAATAGTTCTTAGTTTCCCGCCAAAACAGCATGAACTGGAACTCGTTTTTGGTCATGGACGAAAGCGATCTGTGTAGGATTATAGAAGATTACTCTCATCAAGGGTATGAAAATAAAGTTATTGAATTTTTAAAGGAGCAGCATGGTACTGTCATAAGTTCGCTGCAAAACATGGTTTCGGAAAGGCGAACAAGCAAAGGATGGAACTTGTGTTGGCGGGAAACTAAGAACTATTACCCAGTCTTCCTTGGCGTTGTGTTCTAATTTTTTTGTTTGCGTTTTCTTTTTTTTTTTGTTTGCGTTGCACATTTATTTGCTGCAGTATTTTTTGTTTGCGTTTTCTTTTTTTTTTTGTTTGCGTCGCATATTTTGTTTGCTGCAGTATTTTTTGTTTGCGTTGCATGTTTTATTTGCTGCAGTACTTTTTTTCTTTGCATTTTGATTTTTTTATTTGCTGCAGTATATTTTTTAGTTGCTGCAGTGTATTTTTTATTTGCTGCAGTATATTTTTTATTTGCTGCAGTATACTTTTTGTTTGCTTTGAGCCTTCTGGGCCACCGTACTCAAAGGTGGTGAATGATTGTAAGTGTGTACCCTTGGAAGTAACTGTTGTGCTCTACCAAGTGATTGCTCAAATCAAAGTGTGCAGAGAAATTTGAAGAGATGTAATGGTTGTAATTTTCTTTTCAGTATGTCCATTCAGCAGGAGTTATTCACAGCGTAAGTTTTTATTTGATCACTGACAGAATTATAGTATTTTAGTCAGTTAAGTGTCAAACCAAGTTTCATTTTACATTAATAGAATTGTTTTGAAATGAGTCCATTTTCTGCATATTTCTCTTATCACATTTTTCTTTGGATTATAGGATCTGAAGCCCAGTAAGATAGCTGTTAATGAGGATTGTGAACTCAGGGTAAAACTACTTAGAGTTGTTTTATTTAATTTAATATATACACATGTAGTGTATTGTTTGTTACAACTCAAACAGGATTTTGTTTTTAAATGAATAAAGGGAGTGAGTTTCTGAAGGAAATGTGGTGCAGTGTCAGTGGGGAGTATTACAAGATACATGTAGTTTTGTGAGTTGATAAAAAAAAATGCACTTCCATGCAAACAGAAAGCTAATCAAAATTATCACTCCCAAATCATTTTTTGATCATTTGGAGATCATGCAGTAACTGTAAAGAAATGCACTTTGATGCAAACAGGAAACTAAATTATCACTCCCAATTGGATACAAACCCTTAAAAGAAAAAAACAAGACAATAATAAAGAATAAATACATTAATTGCAGCTCCCCCATAGTGGCTTTTCAGCCACAATGTAGACTAACTAAGTGCTTAAAAATCCCCACTGGCAGGAGGCAGACCAGTGGGCTCTTTACAGGGCACAGCCGAGGAGTTGAACTAGGGGCAACTGAGAACAAATTTGATCATTTGATCTGATGAAGGGCTAATGCCCGAAATGTCAGCTTTAAAAACTCTTTACAGTGGCCAATTTGCCCTTTTAACTCAGTTGATAATACCAATGGAAATTATTATTAAATATTGTTTTTCTTTTTTTAGAATTTGAACCCCTTTGGGAGTGATCAGTTAGCTTTCTGTTTGCTTAGAGGTGCATTTCTTTACAGTAATTTTATGCTCTACCAATGTCACAAGGAAAAAAATTGCTTGAGGTTTGGTGCTTGCCAGGATATTCTCTTATAACTTTTTCATTCATTAATTTAAGATTCTTGACTTTGGTTTGGCAAGAATGGCTGAGGAGGAAATGACAGGTTATGTGGCAACAAGATGGTACAGAGCACCAGAAATCATGCTCAACTGGATGCATTATAATCAAACAGGTTTGTGTCTAACTTGTAGCTTGCACATTTGTGCATTGATTATTGAACTCTTTCAAACCTTTCACTTTCAAGATCTCAATAGTAAATTCTCCTTATTGTCTGCCATACAATTGTTATGATGCTACTGTAACAGTAGTTCAGAGAATTTGGCTTTGGATCAACTAATAATCCCTTTATTGATATTTGTCTTCATTCTCATCACTTTTTCTGCTTGATATTTAAGTGGTATTGTGAGGAGAAATTCTGTCTTGGTCAGTCATTGGAAGAGTCAGGGAAATAAAAAGCTGAATCTAATTACAGAATCATCAATTCTTGAGGAAAATTGTGCTACTATAATTGTTTCATGAACTCAAATAAGTGCATAGCTCTTATTTAAAATTTAGGCTAAAAGGAGGGGCCGCTATTGGAAGGAGGGTGTTTATCAAGTGGGGGAGGGGGCCTTTCAAGGTTTCATTTCAAACAACTTTATCTTTGTCTGGAGCAAATCTTCAGTAGAAAAACAAAAACTGCAACATTATCCACGTAGGCTTAAAGTCAATGTGGAGATAGAAGTTACTAGAAGTGACTTAACAGAAAAGAAACTGTTGTCCTGTACTGATTCCACAGTATTTGAAGCTCAAACAGTTATGAATAAAGTGGCAATAAGAAAAGGTCTCCCTTTTCTCCATACTATTTAAGAAAGCAAGGGAGCAGGAGGAAAAGTGGAGGGTTTATTTGGGAGGGACACTTGTTTGACATTACGGCCCTATTGAGTACTTACTCGGGAAAGGTGATTGTGAGAGCAAGGGCACTTATTTGAGGGTATACAGTGTTCACGTTTATTTTAGTATTTAAGGTTACTGTGCACCTTAAGGGGTGTCTCGCGTGCAAGCGATGTAGCCTGTCCAGTTTAAACTGTAGATATCTAAACCCCTATATCAAATTAAAGCTTATAGGACTGGCTATCAGACTATACCAAAAATTTTGAAAAAAAAATGAATTGTCAAATTTTTCATGACTTCTAAATGCAAGCGCCCGAATCTCCTTTTGAACCTCACATGTTAAAGTGAATTTTGTTTTTCACTTATTTGATGTGTTCCTCCGTTTCTGCGGCCAAAGCGCTAAAAAACATGTCTGCAATTGGCCATATTCAATTTCAGTGAAAAGTTACAGAACATTTTTAAAATAGGTTTTAAAAAAATGTGGAGTGATTGTACAAAAATCGCTCTTGAAAAAAAAGCATTTAGAAATAAAAAATTCGGAGACATGTTTTTGTCGTTTATAAATTATGTAAAACTAGCTACTGTCAACATTTGAGAGCAATCCATGTAAGGAAAAATTAGATGTTAGTCACTCCTTTCAGGAATGAGATAAGAAAACTAAGTAATTTGTGATTTTATATCATTATTTATATTTAGGCTTATATTTATTTTTAAAGTCTGTAATTTATATTCATATATTTTTCTTCAGTATATTAGCATCTCTATTACTAGAGGCCTAACAAGCCTCATTTTCATCCGAGTTTAAATAAAGTCATCATCATCATCATCCAAGGGGGTCAAAGGGTCAATAGAAAATCGAAATTGTTTCACTTGTAGTACTTTAGAGAATAGAAATTGAATCAACAGGTTCCTTCAAGATTAGTTTTGTCTTTTTGTCCATTTGTTTGTTGCAGAATGTAAACCAGTCATTAATTTATTGTTACCAATTGAAAGTAACTAGCTCAGCCTTAACTGTTAAAAAATATTGACCAGTTGACACGAATTATGCAACTTGTTGGGAAACCAGGTGAAGAGTTCCTGGCAAAAATCAGTAGTGATTCAGTAAGTATACTTAATTGTTAATTTGATCTAGATATTTATTTTTAGTCTGTCAGCCAGCCAGCCAGTCTGTCTGTCCATCTGTCGATCAACCAGCCAGCCAGTCAGTTAATCAGTTTATCGGTCAGTCAGTCAGCTAGTCAGTCAGTTAATCAGTCAATCAGTCAGTCAGTCAGTCAATAGCCAGTCAGTCTGTTGGTCAGTTGGTCAGTCAATTGGTCGGTCAGACAATCAGTCAGTCAGTCAATAGCCAGTCAGTCTGTCAGTCAGTTAGTTAGTTGGTCAGTCAGTTGGTTGGTTGATTGGTCGGTCAGGCAATCAGTCAGTCAGTCAGTCAATAGCCAGTCAGTCAGTCTGTCAGTCAGTTGGTCAGCTGGTCAGTCAATTGGTCGGTCAGACAATCAGTCAGTCAGTCAGTCAGTCAGTCAGTCAGTCAGTCAATAGCCAGTCAGTCTGTCAGTCAGTCAGTTGGTCAGTCAGTTGGTTGATTGGTCGGTCAGGCAATCAGTCAGTCAGTCAATAGCCAGTCAGTCAGTCTGTCAGTCAGTTGGTCGGTCAGTTGGTTGGTCAGACAATCAGTCAGTCAGTCAATAGCCAGTCAGTCTGTCAGTCAGTTAGTCAGTTGGTCAGTCAGTTGGTTGATTGGTCGGTCAGGCAATCAGTCAGTCAGTCAATAGCCAGTCAGTCAGTTAGTCAGTTGGTTGATTGGTTGGTCAGGCAATCAGTCACTCAGTCAATAGCTAGTCAATCAGCCAGTCCATTAGTCAGCTAGTTTAGCTAGTCAACCCCTCAGTCAGTCAGTCCATCAGTCAGCCCCATCATAAGTCAGTCAATTGGTCAGTCAGTTACATTTTTGGGGGAAGCAGTCAGTAGTTCTGAACCATTTTTGTGTCCTACAGGCAAGAAGTTATATATCATCCATGCCAAAATATGAAAAGAGACCATTCTCTCAGTTTTTTATTAATGCTAACCCACAAGGTAAGTGAATGCACGTATTGACCTTGCTATTGCCAATAAATAAAATGTTACCATGATGTACAATAAGGAGATATGGCCTTTGAAAGGTATGATGTTCATGGTTAATTGAAGATCAAGCAAAATCAGGTGTAAGGGTTTATGTATGTTTAACCAGGATTTACTCAGCAAAAAAAATCTGGTAGATTGAAATATATTTTTATTTCGACAAAAAAAGTAGTTTGTTCTGCTGTAGGAATCAAGTTTTAAGATATCTGGCCAAACTGGTAAAGTTCAAGATAAACTTATACCAGGGGGGGGCAGAATTGTAAAGGCAGTAGAGGACAAACTTGCAATGGGGTAAAACCTTTAGCTACCAGGTTGATGTGCTGAATGGGGCTTTGGCAGTGCCTATCTTCACCCAGGGGTATGAGGGGTGTTGGTACTAATGGTGATGGGG